AACTCAGCTGTAACAAAAATAAGCAAATTAAATGTAAAATGTAAAGATAAAAATATCATTGCATTTATCCAGGGCCAGCTGAGAGGGGATAATCGATGCGACCGTCCGGCTTATATTTATATATTTTTATATAAAAAATTTAAAATATTTATTAAATTTAGTTGAAAAAGATCCAGAAATATTTTATAGGTATATAATGTATTTTCATCCCAAGTTTTATAAAGATTAGTGATAAAAATGATTTTTTAATTTTTAATAAAAATAAATATTAACAATTTAATTTTTTTTTTGTCCTAGGCCTCAAAAAGTTATTGAACCGGTCCTGCATTTATTTGTAACTAAATATCCATGTAGTGCAGCTTTGATTAAAATAAAGGAAAAAATCAGGTTGTATTACTCTAGTGTGTACACTTTACATTGATAAAATAGTGTTGTTAAACCTAAGATTAACAAAGATAAGCAAAATAAATGTAAAACGTGTTTTTATTTTCTTACCGCGGCAGGGCGGTTTTGGGCGATGAAAGTGGAATAGTCGTTGCCGGCGACGCTGACAAGGGCGACGGAGGAGATAAGGTTGGAGGGAGTGTAGATGTCGCCGGCGGTGAGAATGTTCTGGAAGAAATCGATCTGAGTGGTCATGTTGGGTAATGGAACTTGAGTGTTGAACACTCCTGTTCCTCCGTACGCAAAGTTCATACCATACTGTAGCCGTTTCTTTCCCGCGTAATTTTTCCAGAAGTATGGGATTGGTGATTTTATCCCCACGAATTTTGCTACAAATAAGAAAAAAAAATTATAAATATTTTATAATGTATCTGACATCTGAGTATAAGTTATAACAATATATTTCATAGATTAATAGTTTTTTTTTTGCTAAACTGTAAATATCATATAATGAAAAGAAGAATTTACAATTTCATAGATTAATAGTTAATTGTACAATTCATGCGATAAGAGTTTGGTTTATAACTTAACTAACGATGGCTATTGATAATGTTATTATTCTGAATGTAAGGACTTTGACAGCGCATATGTTTTAGCTTTATAGTCCTTTTATATTTTTTTTTTTTTGAAAAAAAGTCCTTTTATATTATTACAAAGATAAAAAAAGGATGCATGAAGTGTCTTGGCTTTGTTGATGCTTAGTGGTAGTAGCTATGATGCGATTATTAAGCAGAAACATTATAATAGAAAAAGTTAAACCTTTAGGAAAAGATATATAAAAGGACAAGAAGATAAAAAAAGAAAACACATAAGCACCGAATACTATAAACGCAAAAGAGATAACTAATTTGTCTATATATACTATTCATTTGTATATGTGACCGAAAAAAAAACATTTGTACTATGTGCAACCGCTATATAGATCAGTAGACTACGGATTGATGCAACACTGACAGCTGGTAAAAATCGACAAGTTTCCCTTACTAACCATCTATACAATATTTCAAGAACAAACTATGAATTAAAACTTCAGTAGATGTAACACAAGAAAAATAAGCTGATACGATGCCTAATTTACTTCATAATATGCCCACTAAGTTATGCTAATATAAATTTTGTAGGAAAATGTTAATATCTAGCAACGAAAATGAAAATAGGTTTTTTTTGCTGGTTGAGTAAAAATAGTTTAACAAAAAAAAACAGAAAAGAAAGAGTGAAAAATCACTTTAAAAAGTAAAAGCACGACAAGAAGATGGCAAAAAGTAAAGTGATTCGCGCACTGGATTGACACTAGACCAGTCTTCCATCATTGTTTTCCTCAACTTATTTAATACGCGTCATCATTTACATTCATATACATGGTAGAATTTATATGTGCAAGACTTATACAGTATGTTATTACTTTGTTATTAATTTTAAATGAGTTAGTCAAGGCACACCTAATAACACTAATCAAAATTGATCTCTGAAGTCTGAAACTGAAATAATAAAAAGTCTTTGAACATGAGTTAAATAAGTATACTGCTAAGTGATTACAGCCAGACTTTACTTGATTAGGTTAACAAAAAATCGACACAATAAAAACAACAGATTGCTATTTAATAGTTTACCTAGAAAATCAGTGGCGACGCGGCCATCGGAAAAACGGCCAGCGGGTTTACCGGGGAAGGTGATACCGTAAGGGAATTTCCAAGAACTAGAGAGAGACTTCTTGATGTTCCCTGTATCGGCATAAGAATCTCCGAACACAAACAGCTTCGTTGGTCTGAATCCGTACAAGCGATGATTCTTGTCTGAGCCCTCAACTCCATTAATTTCCGCTGCACATAATTTTTTTAAAAAATTAATTAAAATATTAGGTGTATGTTGGTCTCACATAATCCGTTGGGATGAGAGCTATAAGATGAATGAAAATTTAATTACCAAAGAGGAGAGAAGTGAATACAAATACATAGAGGCATAAGAAGAGTTTGATCAAAGGATCCATTTCAATATTTTCAGAGCAAAGGTAAGACTTCTCTTTAGTGACCAAGATATAGGAGAGGAGAGAGATAAAGTGGAAGAGAGAAGTTTGAGAAGTGAAATTGGATTGTATTCTAACTAATGTCTTTGTGGTTTATATAGTAAGCCACTCAGCCTTCTAGTTGATGTGAAACGACCACGACCTGGCCAACTTATCAATATTTGTTTAGTGTCCGAGTCTGATTTACTATGCAGTTGTGGTTTGAAATATAATAGTTTGGACAAGTAATGGCTTTTATGCAATTTCTAATTAAAAATACTAATCAAGACCATATAACTTCTACAAATTTCCACATACTTTTTTTTTATCAAAACCATTTCCACATAATCTTAAACTAATAAGATTTGATTAGGAACTTAATTTGACAAACTTGAACAGCCGTTTTATTTCTTTGTAATTACATTACTTCGTGGGATAATATCTTGGTCTATTGTAGATAACACTTTCTAAAATATCGTTTATATTTCTGATCACATTTATAATACAATACTGTTATATCATTATCGAGGTTTTAGAGGGATAGAGTTGCATATCTAATAGAGTTGCATATCTAATAATAATATGTGCTGGTTTTGAATTTTGAATTTTCTTGTTCTTGGACGTTCAACTTTTTTTTGTCAACCTTCGCTTCCCTTTTTCTTTTGTCAACCTTCGCTTCCCTGTTAACTTTACAAAATTTTCTTTTCGGAATCTGAAACACTATATAACACTAAATTTAATGTTACTTTAATTAAAAAATAGTGTTATAGTTGAAGATGCTTTATTCATCGAGAATTTTATGTTCAGACCTTTTCACACGGCCTAAAACATGTCTGGCTGCTACAGAAACAAAGACTATTAAATTTTAATTCATGTCAATGGCATATTGGCACACCCTCATGATTATTGACTTACGTTTGGCCCTCAAAGATTATTGAGCCAACAAACGTGTTTACTATATCCTCGCATGCTTCTTAAATACTAGTGGATTTTATTTGTATAAACATAATTCAGATTGTATAGTTTAGGAAAAATGAAACCCATGATCAACAAAACTAACTTCATCACAATATTCAGCTAGATGATTTTACCAAAAAGGAAAATTTACATACGCACATCTTTTTGGTAAATAAATAAACTTTTAATCTTCTCTTTTTATTTGGTAAAGCAGCAGTTCTAGTGAAAAATATAATAAAAGGTAAAAATTAATTGAAGAGTTGTCAGAAACTATTTTCTCACATCCATCTATAGTGGCGCACCAAAAGTCACTTTGACCATCACCAATTTATCATTACAAATTAATATTTTACTAAATTTTCCATTATTACAATTATTGTTTTATAGTAGTATACTGACAGGAAAATATATTATACATGTATATTATAACAATCCACACCTTTATATAACCAGGATCTTTTATAATTTAGATGCATATCGCCCTTCAAAATATTTAGCATATCGATTGATCAAAGCGATGAATAACTTCTATCGTTCTCTGTTTATCATTGCATTATGTGTAGGCTTGGGTAACGCCATCATCAAAAGGAAAAATTCTGTACATTTTATGAACTCTCTTGGTGGAAACAAAGATCTAAAAATTCATTGTATATCAGACGAAGACGATCTAGGCTACCACCTTTTGAAGCCTGGAGAGGAATCTACGATTTTAGTTTTTATGACAGTATCATGTTAACCAGTATCTTTTGTGATCTAGCACAGGGAATTGAATTCGCATTTCATGTACAAATTAAGGCATATGAAGGTGGTGGTCTCATAGGTCATTATGGTAAACAGAATTTTACTGAAATGAAGTGAAAAGATCGTATTTATTTTAAGTGCAATTTTATGAATTCCGTTCTTTGAACGGATACCTATTAGTATATTGAATGAAATATTGCAATCTATATTTAAAATAATGAAAAAAAATATTGACAAATGAATTCAACATGATACATAATAGATTTGATATAGGTATATATATTTACATGTATTGTAACAAGGACTTGATAGTTGATAATATATGATTATTTCCTAGGTTTGCATGACAACTAGACTTGCGCTAATCTGTATGCGCGTGGTTGAAGATATTTTTGAAATTTACAAAACACCGCAGTGGCTGATTCAACTTCTGGTTTGATGGAGAAGCATGACACTTAAGCCGAATTGTAGTTCAGTTTATTCAGTTTCAGTACAGTTTAATCGAGTGGTTACGTATATTGAAGTAAATTCCAGTTGTCTTCGACTACAAAATTAAACATGTTAACAAAAAGGTGTTATAGTCAAATATGTAACTCTCTATTGATTAACATATAACATAGTTAAATCTGTAATCACTCCTTTTGGTTAATAAATATACTTTTCTATTTTTGTTACAAAGAGATACATTACATTTACTACTAGAAGTTGAAAATAAAAATGTGTCATAGTCAAATCTGTAATCACTTCTTTTAGTCAACAAAATCTGACTCAATATGACTAAACATATACTTTTCTATTTTTGTTACAAGGAGACACATTACATTTATTACCATGAAGGTATGGAACATAGGTAAAGATGAGCAACCATGATCGTCACGGCTCTTCTTATCGTCCAAGCCAGTTCACGAGTTTGTATGTAGCAAATCTCGATCCACAAGTCTCTGATGAAGCATTGATTCAGATCTTCTCGGGTTTCGGAAAGATTATAAGATCGGTTAGAGCAAAGGATTTCAGAGGAGAGTCGCGAGGATTTGCTTTCATTGAGTTTGAAAGCAGTGATAGCGCTGAACAAGCCGTTGAACACATGAACGGAAGTTTAATAGGTAAAACTAATTGACGCTAACTGTATTGGTTTTATTTACATAATCTTGATTATATAGTCTCAAAGTTCATTAATCTGATATGGGGGTTGCTTATACAATAGGAGAACTCAGTTCAAGATTTGATGACATATGAACCATTATCTCAATGGTGTATGTTGGAAATAAGATATAATTTAAACTGTTATGTAATAAATATATACAAACCACCACCTGTAAATAAGTTTTGAGTTTAAAAACTTTGACACCAGACCAAGGATAAAGAGAGCTAATGTACAACGCCATTCTTCCAAAAGCATGTATAATCAATGTTAAGATTGCTTATGGTTAAACTGTTTCAAGTTTAATATTTTTGTTTTGCAATGTGCCGAGTAGGTCAGAAGGTTCTATACGTTGAGAGCACACCAAAGGTCGACGACGGTGAATACATATAGTAATCTTACGTGGGTTACTGGCCTTAATCTATTGTTCTGTGAGATAGTACTAAATGAATTTATTAAATTTTAATCCATACTAAACTATAAGTGGTCTAGTAACAAAAGTCATGCATTAATAAATTTCTCTATTGTATTATTGTGAATTTTCTATTACAAAAAGCGTCGTTATATTTTTTGGCTAAGGATGTGGCTGTAATATGGGTCTAATTAAAGGGTACCTGTGGAGTACGAAAATGCTTATTTGAAATTTAATTTGGTGGCACGTTTTACATATTCACATGCATTCACGAGAAGAAAGTAGTAACTAAGCTGAATGATTAGGAAAGAAGTTGTTCAATAGTGGGATCTTCTCCAAGTGAAATAGATGTTTTCGGATACGGTAGAGATGAACTGTATAGAGAACCCCGGCTAACGAAACCGTAGAGAATGAGATCAACGTCAATATCCAGAAGTCCTGAAAATTAATCACATCCAAACGTAACACACAAATGTATCAGAAACAAACATTCTGAAAGAGTAGTCATTATCTAGACGTTATTGGTGAATTTACCTTAGGATTAGATACAATAATACCCAAAAGATTAGCCATCAAGTCAAGAGCCGCTTGTAACGAGTTCTGTACACCTCCAACCACACAGCGGTCAGATTCCGGTACAAGATCCTAAAGCAATGTTCCCAAAATATGACACACTCAATAACAACACATAAACCAAAACTTTGAAGTAGCATTATACAAAACAAATGAGACAAAACCATTTTAGCTTTAAATTAACACCTGCATTTGTTGGATTACTGCTAGATCAAACATCCATAAGCCAAGCCTAGAAGCAGCAACTCCAGCCATGAGCATGTATGATGCTATTTTCTCCTTTTCAACCCAAATCGATCCAACACAGACCAAAAGACAGGTCCACTAGAGAAACAAGCAGTTAACCCAACATTTGATTACCAAATTCAAATAAACCAAATACCGATTCCATGTATAGTACTGAATAATGAATTAAATCAGGGTTCTGATGCACTATTCATCTCTAGTAGATATATGTACTACCTTATTTAGGTTTTCTTGTAATCATCTACTTATAACGATTATGGAGACTTTGATTGATTAAAATAACACATAGCTAGTTAATTTCTTCTCCCACGTTTAAGAAGATTTGGTTTTATTCATGGATTATCATACTACACTAATAACATTTCGTCATTTCTCTAACTTCAGTTATGTCACAATTCGATTAATTAGTAACATATTACCTGAGACCAGAAGGACCAGAGTCCAGCTCTGAGTGGTGAGAGACGGGACAGCAAGAGAGGGTACACGACTGTAGCAGTTAGTCCAACACCAGCGCTGATTCCTCTGCCTATACCAATGATATAAGTAGGTATCCCTTTCCACTCCAACGTTGCCGTCATCAATGTTCCAAAGCTATTTCAAGAAAATAAACTATATTTATACGAAAAATAGAGCCAACACTCTAAAGAGAGATCAAAAGGTAACCTGAGTACAGTGAAGAACAATAGAGCTAAAGCAACTCCAGGAAGCACAATATCTTGATTAAGATAAGTCCTCCACGCACCAACAAAAGAAGACTCAGAGATCCTCTCAAGAATCCTCATGTTACCACTTCTACTTTGTGTGTTCTCATCCGTTAAAAGAGGAACATAATACTGTGATGCAATATCTGTTTGAGACGACAACCTTAAACTCCTTCTCTCATCGCTTTGTACTATCGCAGGAACACCGTTATATACAGAGATAAATAGCCAATACTCTATCCACACGGTTATAGTAGCCCAAGCCGCAAACGTGACCGCTGATGCTTCTAGAGAGACAAAGCTAATGATTAAACCGGTGATAACCGGAGACAGCAGCTTCGAGCTCAAGTCAATTCCTCTAATAACAGAATTCATTCTTGTTAAAACGGACGGTGAATGACCTTCCGACATAACCACAACCCTGTAATAATATCAAGAAAGATCTAACTAAACCATTATGGAGTGAAGCTAAACCTAAATTTACTTACCAGTCTCGTTCTATCAAAATGGTGCCTGCAAGAGTAGAGAGTACACCAATGGCACCAGAAAGGTTTGTTAACACGACTAACGTTGCGAAAACCGGGAAGTTTTGAGACTTGAGATCAGGAACTAGAAGCAAAGCAATGACTGCACCACCAGCAACAATGAAAGAGAGGTTTTGAGTAACAAGCCAGAGTCTAAGGACTTTAACGTAGCTCATTACATCGATCATTTGGCCTACAATGGGGCCGAAAATGGCGGTGGAGCCGGATTCTACAGCACCGTACATGGCAGTGAGGAACAGAGAGTTTGGCCAGAGGTAAATCATATAAAGAGCAACAGAGAATTCCCAAGTTCTGCAATTACAATTTCATAAAAAATTAAAGAATATAATCTTACGTAAAACATGTTTTTCTATTAATATACAAAGATATTGACGAGACCTGGCACCCCATCGAGCAAGAAAATAGCCGAGATATAGAGAGATCACCATGGAACGGGGTAACTCATGTGGCTCTTCTTCTTCTTCTTGATGTTGTTCGTTTGATAGGAAAACCCTAGTTTCTGTCTCCTCCATTTCTTCCGAATGATTTGGTTCTTACTTCCTAATTTTAATTGAATCTGATACTCAGAAACATCGATCAAAGCGATTTCAGTGTTCATCACATGTCACTAGGACTAGGTTTTCTATCGAAAGGGTGCAACTATTTAACAATGGATGGGATAAATTGAATAATTGGATAAGTTTTGTAAATATAACATGTTATGTTTGATATAACGTGCTATTTTAAAGTAAAACGTATTTATTTCATCGAACATATCAAATGGGTTTATAAATAACCCTTATATTTTGGAACTTAAGTTAAAAACAAAATTTCTGTAGATTTCTCAAGTAATGCGAATAATAACAGTAAAAGTTTCCAATGACAAGCACCATTGATTTGGTTAAGTGCACAAAAGTATATGAACGTTGGAGTTTTCAACCTTTTTTAAGATGAATATAGATAGATAGTAGAGCACAATTATCGGGGAGGGGGAAAAAGGGGTGCTTAGAATTTTGTTTTATTTTTTTTTTCTTTTTTTTTTCAGATTTAAAAAAAAAAAAAAAAAAAAA